CTTTGCTTCTACAATCATATATCTTCTAAGCTCCTCTAAGCTTCTAATGCACATTGCTTCTAACTCTTTACTCTAAACTCTGGTTGCATCTGTTGAGGGAGGGGCCCCAACCATTTGCTGTCTCACACTGAGACCCCTTGATCCTTTGTTGTCTTAATGGCCCACCTCCCAGGCTATGACCTCATGAAGAAAGCTAGCCTGGCTTAATTAGCTATTACCACTTGCTGATTCCAGGGTATTAGAAGTGTCTAGCACATTGCCGAAGAATTGATGCTTTTGAATTATGGTGCTGGAGGAGACTCTTGAGAGTCCCATGGACTGCAAGAAGATCAAACGTATCCATTCTTAAGGAAATCAGCCCTGAGTGCTCACTGGAAGGACAGATTGTGAAGCTGAGGCTCCAATACTTTGGCCACCTCATGAGAAGAGAAGACCCTGATGTTGGGAAAGATTGAGGGTACAAGGAGAAGGGGACGACAGAGGACGAGATGGTTGGACAGTGTTCTCGAAGCTACAAACATGAGTTTGACCAAGATGTGGGAGGCAGTGGAAGACAGGAGTGCCTGGCGTGCTCTGGTCCATGGGGTCACGAAGAGTCGGACACGACTAAACGATTAAACAACAACAAAGCACATTGCTTAGCACCCCAAACCTTAATTAAATCCTAACATTTGCTCTATCTAGAGATTATAATGATCTAGCACCAACAAACTCATAACGGTATGTTGTTGGGAGTAGAGAATGGATTCCCTGTTACTTAAGTCCCTGAAAGTTGTATTTCAAAAAGCACTCAAAGGCACAGGTGCAAAAACGTTTCTACAATTTCCTCTTGGGAAGCAAGGTAGATGAAATGAACTTATACCACTTGCCATTTAGTTTTATCTCATTCTCTGACATCAGATCCATGGTGAGAGCTTAGTGTGGCAATGGAGATTGTGTGTTGTTTCCATCCCAGGAGGATGAATGCAGCATTATAGCAATCTCTGCCAAGCTGGTCTGGCTCAAAGTGCTGCATTAGCAGAGTCTGGTGTTTGTGGCATATTGATACTCTTGGGATAACAGAGTAGCAACAAGCTTTTACTTTGGGAACACTGAAACAGCTCTCTGATATTAGATCCTCACTGCTTTAATATTTCACAAACTCCATAAACCTTGTTGGTCACTTACTAATTATGACATCCCCAGCGCCTTGCAATAAAATGCAAATTTGCATCACGTTAAGATATCCTAGGATTAGTTTCTATCCCCCCCCCTTGTCTGAACTATGCCAACCTGGGCTGCTTCTATGTGGCAGTTTACTGTGGACTCATTGCTGCTCTTGCATGTAATTTTTTTGCAGCATCCACACAACATTGTGTTCATCAGAATGCCTTCACATGTGATTTCTGCATTTACTGTTCTCGTGGAAAATCTAGTAAATGAAAACAACAACCTGGAAATGGTAAATGGGGAAGCAGGGAGCATGGGATGGTACTTTGATGAGGTTGACATTGTGTATTGTAGATGCTGCATTGAGTCCATAATAAACTGCCCTGTGGAAGTACATTTGGTGCTTGTCAGGATGAGCAGGATGTGAAACTTCTTGTTGTTAACAGAGAATGGCAAAATGGCAAAGCGAAGGCCATTTTGTATGGTGACATGATCATATTCTCTACCTCAGCTGTAGGAAGCTCTTTTCATTGCAAGGGCTGCATTCCCTTGTGGGGAATCTACTGGGGGCACATGCCAGAGATGAAAGTGGGTGAAGCATGGACCTCTGCAGAGTAGGCTACATTCTGGACAGAAATACACTGAAGGTTTCTCAATATCTCTCTCTCTCTCTCTCTCTCTCCCCCCCCCCCCCACACACAGTCAGTCAAGGAAGAAGCATTATCACAGTTCTAGAGAAGATTCTAAAATCCTCTAGGCAAGTGAGCAGATGTGTTGGCAATAAAATTACATCATCTGGAGACAGCCTAGAAAAATGGACTTTAATATTATTAATAATAATTAAAATTCTGCTGTGTTTCTGCTTCAGTTGTCATTCTCAGTGGGGTCCAGGCCCAGATATAACAGAGACTTGAACTGAATCCTAGCTCCAGTATGCTCACTGTGATTTACTAAGTTCTTTTGTGTATGTGATTTGTGGGGCCGCAACTGGCAAATCTTAACTGTACCATATTTCTATTAAAGGTCATATAACTAACAGAAAAGGTATGGAAGGTGTGTTGGGAGCAAAAGAGCGAGAGATTTAAGTGTTAGATTTTAACAGCTGGACTGGCTAAGCAAAAAATTTTAAAATTGTAGTGGGGATAATAGTTAGTGCTCCCACTTCAGTATGAATCACCCTTCTTAAAAGGCTTCCATGTCTAACACAGTCAAATTCATTTGTTCTGCTGAAGAGATCTGTGTGCAGAGAACTTGTCTTTCAGATATACATGGGTAACATAGATTTATACCGAAGCTATTTTTTTTTTGCATAACACATCATTCATATAAAACAGCCATTGTTATAGGAATGCACAGAATGATATTTCTGATTTGTGTCATACAGTTCATGTGATGAAAGCCTGAGCAATGTTGTTTAAAGGCCCAATTCACATGCTGCCTTTGTTGCATGGTCCACAACCCATGCCATCCTGCCAATGCGGTTCTTCTTTACTAATATTAACTTCCTGCACTGATGTGGGGCTGGAACATGCCACAGTGGCCCCCACTTTGCAAAAACAAAATTAGAATTGGGCCACAGGGTGCATGTAGGCATCATGCCCTCCATTTTGTGCTTAAAGGACTAGTTTCAAGAAATCATAGACTTGTAGAGTTGGAAGAGTTGATTACATGTCCAAAGCTGATGGAAATGTTTTATGGCATTCCTTTAACATAATCCAACCCAGAGCTGGTTGAAAAATTCCTAGAAACTTCCATCTGTATCAGCTTTTGGCTCATACACTCCTGCACACAAGGCTATCACCTTCAGTGAATATGCAAGGATTATGGACCACTATATGTAATGGCTAATGATGGGTGATTTGTCTAGAATTGGGCTCAGGAACCGACATCAAACAACATTGCAACATTCTGATGTCACGAGTGTGATGTTAGGACATTGGGAGGAGCCAAGGCAGAGCTGAACACAGTGGCCACACAGCTCAATGGCTGGCGGCTGCTCCTCTTTATTGTCTCCTCTTTATTGGTGCCAGCATCAGCAGTAAGTGGCTTTGACCCTCCTTCCCCGTCACATTGCCATTGTCAGCATGAAAAGTCAGCACGAAAATTTGTAAGCATTTTTCATGCATATTCATCCCAATATACGTATATATGCAGGTGACGTCCACTAATACAATAAATTTTTGTATGTTATTTCCACTGACATCCAGAGTTTGTGTGCACTCTCTCCTAATATACACATTTTTGTATGAATTTCTTGGCTGGAGAACTGCATTGCAAAATTCAGAGAAGGGTGACTATTGCAGTGTACCTGTGTTTTTGCTCGTGTAAAGGTTAAGGAAGTGCAAAATAGGTAAAAAAAGGGTTAAGTCCAGTCACGAACGGCTCTGGGGTTGCGGCACTCATCTCGCTTTACTGGCCAAGGGAGCCGATGTTTGTCCACAGACAGTTTATCCGGGTCATGTGGCCAGCATGATTAAGCCGCTTCTGGTGAAACCAGAGCAGTGCATGGAAACGCTGTTTACCCTCCCGCCACAGTGGTACCAATTTATCTACTTGCACTGGCGTGCTTTCGAACTGCTAGGTTGGCAGGAGCTGGGACCGAGCAACAGGAACTCACCCCGTTTTGGGGATTCGAACCACCGACCTTCCGATCGGCAAGCCCTAGGTTTATATTAAATTGTTGAACCAACCAAATTTGTTCCCCATCCCATCTCTTCACTGTCTTGAAATCAAAGCATGATCCATAAGAAAATAAACTGTTGTCTTGAACTCAGTGTTTCAAGAATTCTTTTCAAGTGAGCTTTCTTATAATGATTTCAAAGGACTCATTTATATGGAAGGAATGTGAGACTACTTTTGTTTTTTAATGGATTTCTATAAAGCTGTCCAACACTTCTTTTAAGGGATGGTTTCATAATGATCATCAGTCCTTTATGCTATAGTGTTTGGTACCCTCAGAAATAAAGGAGGTCGCTCTGTTTGAAGAATCAACTCAAAACTTGCATTGAATTTGGTGGCAGTTCTGAGCTGTACTGTTTTGGGAAAACGAACTGTCGTCCTTTTAACTCCAGGGGGCAGCATTGCACTGTGAGCAGGTCCTTCCTTCAAGTAACTCCGTAACAGGAATACAGAAAAATGAGCTGAGCATCCCCTCCCCCGCTCCTTCAGAGGCAGACTATTGGTGAGGACAAAGAGAATGAAAAGGTTTCGTTACATTGGCCAGGCCTGAAGTATGATGATTCATTGGGTTTAATATAAAATAATTCGAATCCTCTAGGAGGTCATCAATACACCTCTTTTGGTATTGACGGTCGTTCCAACCTTCTGCTTTTGAGGCTGGGTTTCCTGTCATATTCCTCTTCCTTTCCCTTCGTTCTGTGCAATTCAGGTCGTTGGACTGCTCTCAACAACATGTTTAAAAAGGCTAAAATAGCTGTGAATTATGCTCCCAGTTCAGTTGTGATGATTGCAGCTGAGCTATATTTCAAGACATGTCAGAGAAGCAGGACAAGGCTCTAGAGAATTATGAAACTTCTGTGTTTTCTCATGCCAGGCTCAGTGCTCCCCTCCAATTTCCCTTGCTGAGAAGCTAATCAGCTGTTTGTTTTCATATTTTAACAACTTCCCTCTTTGGCTTTGCAAGGTCCCATGTTCAATGTTTCTCAGCTTCAAAGCATTTGCCAAACAGGTGGGATCATGTTCCAACACACGTGTGAGATTAATCCAGCCACCCTTCCAAATGCCACTTCAAGGATTTCAAGGCTACCACTATTATTAACAATGTAAGATTGTTCAATTTTGCATTACACATCTTGACATTACTTTGCCTTCAGAACAATCCCATAAGGTGGGTCATAAGTATTTCAATTTAACAGAAAATGGAGGCTGAAACCTAACTCTGAGAATAATAATTTAACACTGATACAGCATCTAACGTTTTCAAAAGGATATACACATAGGTTATAAAGATAAAACAGCCCCTTCCGGTAGGTTCATAATCTGGTAGACCCCAAACAAAGATGGTCAGTGGATGGGAAGAGGAAAGCAAGCATTGGGGCAGCTGCTCCTTCAGTGGCTGTTCAACTGAGCCAGGATAGGGGGGGCAGTTATGCATTGCTGAGAATGAGGATTTGCATCACCAAAAAACAGGGGACACCAATTTGCTTAAGATGTGCAGGTGTTATTTTATAGGCATGCACAAAAACTTAGAAATCATTGCCGTAGTTTAAATAAAAACACAATGTATCTCACAGTAGTGAGGAAGCCACCAGGTGATTTGTGTGCCTGCTCACTCTGTTGACCAGGTCCTGCTAATTGTTGATGGGCAACTTCAAAGCCCTTGCTCTCCTTTTTATGCTTCCTTATCTTTCAACCAGACTCGGACCAGACTGCCCCCAAGCAGAAGACATCTTCAGACAGAGGAACAGGCTGGTCCCCCCCCCTCCTTCCATTATGTTCTTCTAGGGAGGCAGGAGGTGCAGCCTCCTAGTGGCCCAAAGCCTGTCTTCCCTCAGCTCTGCATCCTTAGTTAATAGGGAGTTGCAGAAGAGTGTTCTTTCACATGGGATGTGAGGAAGTCAGGCCCCTGCAGTAACTCCTTCTCTGGCTGATAGATTGTGAGATAGCAAGGGCCATGTGGCAATCTAATGACTGAGCCCATGGTTTGACCCCAGGTTTTAGCATTCCAAGCTGATGTCCACATTGTCATAAGAGATTGGCCAATAGGCATGTTAGTATCTAGTCTAAACCACAAAGGTTGAAATGATATACTAGGCTATAAGCAACTGTGTCTGTTCTTGGGAACATCATCATGAATAGTACAGTTGCACCTAAGATAACTATATCCATAGGATGAAGGGATGCTAGATATTTCTGATGCGATGTTACACACAAGGCACTCTAGACCAGATGGAGGTGCCTGTACCTTCCAACTTCGGGCATAATTTAAAAGTATATTTACAGTACAAATAAGTCTTAATGAGGATCAGTCTGTGATGGTGAGATCAAGACAAGCTGTGAATTCTGATGTGTTGCCTCTGTCCATGCTTAATTAATGATCGTGCTGGAAATGTCTATGTTAGGAACTGTTTTATTTAGAAATCATTAAAAACAGGAAAGGGCATGATTTCTCTTTTTGGCTTCGGTATATGCAGTGATGCTAATACCAGGTGCTCAGACAAATGAGTAACTGAACAGGCTGAACACACGGCAGTTGGGTCTTAAGCGTTTTGTCTCCATTTCTGAGCATGGGTGTGAAGGGAATCTTGTCATGTACAAAAGGCTCTCTCCATGATTTGGAAGTCAGATCATGCCTATATGTGCCACACAAGGGTTCCTTTTACAGACTTTCCCTCCCATGCGTGGATGGAAGTGGGACTGAGCCAGTAGCGGATGCGATGGCAGGGTTGGGCCAATGGACGCAGCTCTACTCTCAGGATGTAAGAAGACATAGTTGGTTTCCTGCTTCTTCCTGCATTTATCACACACTGCAGTGTTTCCATTCTACCATAAATTACAGTGTAATGCCCTTAACATGTCATTTACCTTGCTTAATGTTGCTTTGAGGCCTATTTCATAAGGTCAAGAAGAGTAACAATGGGGCTAAAGACAAAAGAGAAGATAATGCCCCTGTGATGCACTGACTGTTTCCTGAGCCAGTTTTCATCATAAGCCCTCTTTAGGTGTTTACCTGAACATGCTGAAGTTAAAAGTGCGTGCAAAGATCTAGAAGGGGCTTCCACATGTGTTCAGCTGAATGAGTTTTAAAGTCCCTACAGCACTGGAAATCCTGGCTTATAAATGGCCAGTGTTGTTGTGCTCTTATCTTTCTTGCGGGTTTCTCATATCTACTTGGTTTCAGTTTTTCCATGATTTGTCTCTCTCACACACTCATCTACAAAGAGTCAAGCAACAAAAGATTTTTTTAAACTGTTTGAGCACAAGAATGCATATGGCAGGGCAGGAAAGACCAATATAAAGATTAATTGTTCCAGGCTGTTGGAATTTAACATGACTGCACAAGGTGAGACAGTTCAATTATTTAATCATAGTCCTGCTTTCAGCTTCGAAGGGCAGGAATATAGCAATTGTGCTTCCATTTCTATTTAATTTATATGAGTTTTGGAGCCCAATTCTATTGCTCTCCCAAAGGAGGAGTAATGCAACATCTTATCATGGAGAGTAGGTTTGTTGTCACACATTTGGATCTGGAGTCTTATGGTTAGCTAGCCCCATGGGAACTCCTTAGTAGTCAACACTAGCTGTGTTTGAATATCTTCTTCTTCACCTGCCTTTCACCCCAAGGTCCTAAAAATGTAACATTAAAAGCAATGTAGAAACTCATGATTATGAAGATTACAGTCACAAAAATAGAGGTGGTCCTTAAAATACCTCTTAAGTGTCAAAGACCAGGTGTATATTCAGAATTTGCTGAATCCTATATAATGTCGTTGTATAATGCACATCTGTAGAAGTATACAATAAATTCAAACTCAGAATGGTGTTGGGCTTGGCTATTTATGGACTCAATATGGACTATTTATGGAAGCAATATGATGTAATGTTCTTTTGCATGACACAATTTGACATTAGAGTGTAATGTAGAGGCAGTCATTCCTCCTCTCCTTTCCTTGACTGAAGATAGAAGCTCAATTTATACATTACTGGCATAGGAACTAATTTCCATTCCTGCTCCAGTAATGTCTGGCTGAAGACACAGGATGGGCAGGATAAATTATATGGTCCCTTCCTATGCAAGTGTCACTCAGGTCTCATGAGCCTTTCAGATGTCCTGAGTATCACCAGGTGACAAATTATTTTACCTCACAGTGTGTGATTTGAGCCCCTTTATCCTGCACCTTTATCCTGGGGACGCGGGTGGCGCTGTGGGTAAAAGCCTCAGCGCCTAGGGCTTGCCGATCAAAAGGTTGGCGGTTCGAATCCCCGTGGCGGGGTGCGCTCCCGTTGCTCGGTCCCAGCGCCTGCCAACCTAGCAGTTCGAAAGCACCCCCGGGTGCAAGTAGATAAATAGGGACCGCTTTCTAGCGGGAAGGTAAACGGCATTTCCGTGTGCGGCTCTGGCTCGCCAGAGCAGCGATGTCACGCTGGCCACGTGACCCGGAAGTGTCTCCGGACAGCGCTGGCCCCCGGCCTCTTGAGTGAGATGGTATCCTGCACCAAGAACAGCTTTTGGGGCTAGACTAGAAACTTACCTCAGAATAACAGTGTGTTCATAAGTTCAAAAACCACAGGGTTTTGACAGGAAGAAATCCATCTTTGTGTGACTGTCTATTTAAATTCTGAACATACTGTAAGAATCTGAAAAGAAATAGACTGTACAATTTGGAACCAATTGAGAACCTGCAGACAGCATTTACAATGTTATACTGAGTCACTATTAAGAGGATGAAATGAGTGTTTTACATTTGGCAGTGAATAATCAGGAGAAAAAAAGGGCAAATCTACCATTTCAGTGGTTCCATTTAGGCTTCATGGAAATGTATTTCCAAGTCTCAGCACAACCAGGGTTTTAAGGCATTTTTCTGTGTGGCTCTTTTGTCTAAGAGAATCACCAGCAAACTTTCCTCATCTGTTTACCTGTAGCATTTTACCTGGAGGTTCTGGCATCTCAGTGAATCTGATGGATCAATCTACATTCAACTTGGGGGCACGGAGTCTTTTGCTGAATCTCTGTGGTAGGGAAGATAAACTAAAATCCTATTAGTCAGCCCACTGTACTGTGGTGGCAGTTTCCTTTGAGCCTCTTGGCAATATAGCATTTACTTTAAAACTGTACATCACATCAGAATCCATTGAGAGCCATTATTTGTCTGGCAGGATATTTATAAAAGGCAGCATTAGTTGTAGGCCTTCGTCAATACGTTTTCCTCTTATTGATGCTCAACCAGGCCAGTCACTTTGAAATATTTTAATGTAATATGCCACTTCAGGATATCATGAATATTTCTATCACTGCTTGATGTGATAACTTGATGAAAATCAGTTCCAAATGGAACAGCAGGAATGGGGGTGGGTGCATCAGCTCACTGCTGAATCAGGAATAACATGAATATTTGTTTGTGAAGCCTAGAATATGGTTCTATCCCTAGTGAAGTGACTAGATTTCCTGTCTGAGGAGCTTATTCTTGCCATTCATTCCTTTCTGCCTTATCTGAGGTGTTCCAAGTTTAGGGATGGGTGAATCTGCCAATTTTTGTTTCTCTCAGTTCTTCATTTCCCCTCAGTTCTCCACACTTCCTCATCAGTTTGTGATTTTTTAAATAAAGTCCTCATCAGCATTTTAGAGCAAATTTATCATAATATGCACATCTTTGCAAAGCAATTTCACCTTACATAAAACAATTGTGTATGCTACTTTTATGAATATATGCATTTTTGTGTACACTTTACTCTAGTATTTGGAATTCTGTACACAACTCTTGGCTATGGAACTGCATTGCAAAATTCAGAGAAGTATGAATTTTGAACCATGGCTGTGTTTCTTCCCCATCCCCTGCCTGTGTCATGATATCAATTCTGAAAACAACAACAAAAGTAAAGTGAAGCCTCATAGCAGTATTTGGCCATTATAAGGGCCCCAACTGAACTTTCACCACCCTGAAAAGTCAAGCTTAGGGACAAACTTTAGACATTTTGTGATGCTACACACACTCTCTCTCACTTTCTCTCTCTCTTTCTCTAAATTGAAACACAGTCTGGGAAGGCATGTTAACCCTTGCACAACCCTAAACATTTTTCAGTTCAAAATTCGCCTGACCTGGGATCTTATTCATAGATAAAGTCAGGTGGCAACTGAACTCTGATAAGTGTAGGGACAGCTGAACTTTGCAAAATAAAGATGTCAGAAGTAAGTTCCATTTGGTTCAATGGGCTGACTTCCAGATAAGTGGGTGTATCAGATTGTGGCATCTAAACCTCTGAAAAGATGAAGTGTTATTTCTGGCAATGAATCATACTGAGAATGTGTACATGGGTGTCTGAGGTAGCTAAACAGGTGAAAAATGGAGAAACAACATCTAGGTAGTTTAAGCTTTGAGTTTATACCCAGACAGGCTTTGGCATGTTTTAAAGAACAGTTCATCCAACGGAGCAGATTATTGTCCTCACCTGTGTCATGAATCTACAGAGTGGCCTTTGGGTGTGGCATTTTCTCTCATCCTCAATGTCTTTACAATGGAAATGGTAAACTATCATTTACCCTTCTACGAAATGGGAACAGTTCCTTAACACACACACTGCTAGAAGGAGGAAGATGATAAATATTTTATAATCATCATCAAAGTGGAAGTTCTGTGGTAAATACCCATGATGAGCTATAGCTGTATATTCCTGTATTCCCTTAAACCAGGGGTGGGGAACCTGTGGGACTTCAGATGTTGCTGAACCACAACTTTCAACCCGCCTGACCATTGGCTATGCTGGCTGTGGCTGGTGGGTGCTAGAGTCTGATAACATATGGACAGCCGTGCCTCAGACAAATTAATTTCAGAATTCTCTTTCATTTAGTATTTCCACAAAACTCTTGGTCAAGCATGTAAATAATCCTGGCTACATTTATATTCAAATGAAGAAAATTAAAATCCGTAGAAATGTATAGTCATTTTCAAGTCCAATTTGGTCATTTATTCTATTTTATTTTTTATTGTTGTGGTCTTAAAAATGTAGCTGGCCCCTGAATTTGCACTATCTCTTTTATTTTGTCAAAATGGAGGTCTCAGGTCTCATTTGAAAGGTAACATTTGCTCTTTTTTTATTTAAACCCATTAGAATATAATTTTAGACTGAGTAAGTCATTTTTCACCAATGAAGGTGACAAAGTCATTTGTGCTTTAATTTTTTTAAACTATTAATCTGTGGCAGCTGGTGAAACGGGGGGTTGATATGATTAACCTGAGCAATCATTTATCTTCCTGCAAAATTAATGTGGAGTCTTAACTTTAGCTTTTGAATATTGATTTAGCCTCATAGGAAATGAATTAATAATCGACTATACCTGTTGTAGTTATGATAAATATTACCTACCTGCTTCTGTTAAAAAGGCATTTGTATGTTGGCTACTATATTCATTTACACAGTGTTCTGAAATGTTCAGGTACTATATCCCCAGTGTCGTGATCTTTTCACCTGCAGGGGTCCAATGTGGAATTGTGGATATGCTACTTTGCAGCGTGGCTCTTTGCCTCCACGTATGTTATCCCTGCATATTTGCAAATAAAGCACATAGTATAAAGAAAATCCAAGTCTCTAGTACTCCCTCATCCAAAGTTGTACCTCTTTAACTCCACACCATTTGGAGGACAGAGGAACATCAAAGGAGAGATTCAGAACTCACTCTTTGCTAGAGATGAGTGAAATGTGTCAGATTTGGTTTCTCTCAGTTTCTCATTCTTCCCATCTTTAAGTGCAGTTCTCCACATTTCCACACTTTGTGATTTTTCTCCTCCTCCTCATGAAAATCACCAGCATTTTACTGAGAATTTCTCCTAATATACACATTCATATACGATGTTTCCTAATATACATATTTTTGCAAAGTGATCTCCCTTAAAAAATGCACCATTGTATGTTATTTTCACTAATATATGCATGTTTATGGTCACTTTACCCCCATGTATGCATTTTTGCACCTGTTACTTGGCTGGGAACTGCATGGCAAAATTGAGATAAATGCAAATCTCAAAGGATGGTTGCGTTTTGGTTTTTGTACAGTGGTACCTCAGGTTACATACGCTTCAGGTTACATACGCTTCAGGTTACAGACTCCGCTAACCCAGAAATAGTGCTTCAGGTTAAGAACTTTGCTTCAGGATAAGAACAGAAATCAGGCTTCGGTGGCGCGGCGGCAGCAGGAGGCCCCATTAGCTAAAGTGGTGCTTCAGGTTAAGAACAGTTTCGGGTACAGACCTCCGGAACGAATTAAGTACTTAACCTGAGGTACCACTGTACTGGTTCAGAAAGTGCGAATTAGGTCGATTTGCCTTTAAATGAGAAGTGAAACCAAATGTACCCTCCATTCCCTACTCTTTGCTCCCTCTTGTTTTTAAGTCAAATGCAAAGAGCATGTCACCACACACTCCTCTCCTCCCTGACCCCATGCTGTATCCTCGGAGGGTGCAGGCAGGGAGAGGAAGATGCACAGCACAACGATGGCATGTCATTCATTGCTTGTATCAGCTGCTGCAGTGAAATAAGAGCAAGGGAATAAATAGCAGCAGCAGTTCAATGCCTCTTGTAACATCCAATTTGGCTCTCGAAGTGTTGCAAGGTCTGGTAAGCATTTCTTCAACCTTATTTGTTCAACAGGCTAAAACTGCAAGCCCTGTGTGCAACCATAGGAGGAGCATCTGATCTTAGTCAGCCACAGGTTTCCATGGCACCAGGTTATCCTGTCCCTCTTGCCTTCTTCATTGCTTTATTGCCTTGAAATCTGACTTGCGAACGTATCTATGAATTGTTTCTGACAATGTGCCAGTGGCCAACCTACACACAAAAAACTTGTGATTTTTCTTTTAATAGATGATGAGCTGTTGAGCAAGTTCACTCCTCCAGCATTCTACTGTTTACATTGCTTGACAGCTTACATGAGCAGGTTTATCTGGCTTACGTTTTCTGCTGATGCATCACTGGTCTCTAAAGCTTAGAGCAGGGGCAGCTCCCCCCTTTTTTAAAGCCCGAGGGCCACATTGAGAGATGGCCACCCCTCTGAGGGCTGCATGCCAGCAGCTGGTGTGGCCAAAGTGGAAGTGGCCACATGCACACAGATATCTCTCTCACAGGCAGGCAGGCAAGCAGGCAGAAACACACACACACACACACACACACACACACACACACACTTAGCCGAGGGGGACTTGCAGACCAGCAGAAGAAGGGAGCTCCAATGTTTCCCCTCCTCCTTACAGCCATTTCTCCCTCTGATGTAGCAGCATTGCAAGAAAGTTTTAGGGTTCTGGAAACAGGAAGGGTTTCTTCCTGTTTCCCTTGCTCAAAGACTGTCTTGCATTCTGAAAGTGGTCCTATCATTAGCCTCCTTCTCTGTCAGGTCCTCCTTGGTCCTGCTCCCTTAGCCAGCATTACAATTCCTCTGTTTCCTTCCTGGACCCATAACAGTCCCCCCATCCCCTGAGAAATTATCCTCTTTGTTTCCTTTGCCCAGGATTAAAGGTTGTCTCTTCCTTTCTCCCCTTCTGCATTGCAAAAGCTTGTTTCAAAGGTAATCATGCTAGCTTGCTTCCCTCCCTCTTTAATTAGGGTTCCTTTGAGTTATAAAAACAGAAGGATCTGAGAAACAAGAGTGCCCTACGCATAGTGGTTAAAAGATTGATCCAAACCCAAGATGTTATAAAACAAGTTTATTCTTAAACTGAATGCAGTGTAAACAGAGAGTGCATGGAAAATACCCTAAAGGGTTTCTGCAAAAATAAAAAATGGATCAGCTCTTTATGAAGGGAGGAGTTTAAGCTCGTCTCAATTTTGGTTCAAACCATACTGAAGAAAGTCCACTGCATTTCTCTTTAGAAACTGGATAAGCTTCATGTGCCATTCATAGACTCAGAAAAAGAGTTCTGTAGCCTCTGTCAACCTGGTGCCCTCCAGATTTTTGGGACTACAAACTCCCAGCAGCCCTGTCTGGAGGGCACTTGGTTAGAAAAGGCTGGTCTACAAATTCTTTCCTTTTCCATTTCTGTATTTTGGATGGCAAACATACCTTTGGGTATCTTGCCATTCTAACCTTTTGAAGAAGCACAAGATTTTGCCTGATAATTTTGCTACAAGAGAATACTTTTCAATTTTGACACAAAGGGTAGAGATGAAACAAAACATTATTACTTTTTAACTTTTGGAAACTTTTCTCTCTACTTTTTCAACCTTTTATTTTTGTTGTGGCCAGCAGTTACTGAAGCAAACATTGTTGAATGCACGCTATGATTCAAGATCAATAATGTGTATAAGGTACCAAGCCAAAGAAACTCAATATTTTGTTGTTGCTTTCCCCCTCGTCACTCTTCAGTCAACAGCAAAAAATATTCCCCCAAAATCTGAGGAATAAGCAAAACACATATTTGTTCATTATTCTCACCCTGTGCTGCTCACAAATAGTATTCAGTCCTTAAGAACCAGTTAACATTTTGTTTTGTTTTGTTTCTAGGCTTTCTCTCCTGCAAAGATAAGGAAGGAATGTATTTTGAGCACCATTTCAATAATGCATCAGAAACTGTGTTGTTTTGTTTATCTTGCTTTCTTAATTTGGTAATTGTAAAAGCTGTCCATGCTCACGGGTGGTAACAAATTACTGTAATGAAGCGGCACTGAAACAGATAGCTGCAATTTATATTTTACTAGTGCTGGCTTTATCCAAAGGGGGAGCATTTCAGCCTTCCAGGATATTCTTCATATATCACACAATACCCATCCACAGAACACAAAATGGTTGCATATTCATTCTCTTGGCAGATATGGGGGAATCACATGCTGTATATGAATGGTGTTGCACATATTGGCAGAAAAAATCATATTGGCACATTCTACATTGCTCCAGTGTACATCCGGTGTGATGTAAATACATTATATTTTTCAGCTACTGCTTTTCACATTTCCAGCTCTGTGCTAAAGGACAGGACTCAAATATAATTTTGCAATATGAAAATTCCAAAACATGTTCAAATCAGGCATACAGGCAAACCTAGGATAAACTGGTGGGAATCACTTGCACATCACTGGTTTTAAGATGGTGCTATTAGTGTGTGAATCTTCAATGTTTATCCATAGAAATTTAGAACATAGCATTACCTGCAAATAGTGAAGCATGCTGGCATTGGGTGTCGATTCGAGCCCAATTTTCACACCGAAGAGCAGACGGAAGCTATTTAGGTTATTTAGAGCATGGGTAGGCAAACTAAGGCCCGGAGCCCAGATCTGGCCCAATGGCCTTCTAAATCCGGCCCACGGATGGTCGGGGAACCAGTGTGTTTTTACATGAGTAGAATGTGTGCTTTTATTTAAAATACATCTCTGGGTTATTTGTGGGGCATAGGAATTCATTCATTCCCCCCCCCAATATAATCCAGCCCCCCACAAGGTCTGAGGGACCGTGGACTGGCCCCCTGCTGAAAAAGTTTGCTGACGCCTGATTTAGAGGCTTGTACCATATTGTTGGGAAAGGGAAGGGTCAAAAAGTTTTTCTGGCTCCATTTATTTATATCTAGCAATTCCTTTGGGGTTTCCAGTTCATGAAACCTAAACAATTGTGTGAGCTGGCCCAGTCAGTGAGATTTAGCTACCCTTCTTGCTTTAAAAAAATGATTACACAAATGCATGAATGATAAGGCTATCAATTGCTACTAGCCACAATGGCTATGTTCTATCAGTGTCGTAGCATGCATTGCCAGCGCCCGGGCAAGGAACCCTAACCTCATTGAGGATGTCATGTAGGACAGGCTTTTCTCACTGCACCCCTGCTACAGCTGTTTCTCGTGGAGTTTGCCTGCTGGCTCCTGCATTCAGCCTCTCAGCTTGGTGAGCTCCTGATGGGACAGTGGCTGGAGCTCCTTGGCAGGCTTGGTGGAGTCCCGGTGGCACTGGAGCCACAGATGCAGTCTAGGAGGAGGGCAGCAGAGAGCAGGCTGAGGCGCTGAGTGCAGCCCTTCTGTGGCCATCTCTCCTTGGCTGCACAGTTCGAGGGCGGGTGCCAGAGGGTCCTGGAGAAGTGGTCTGCTCTTCTTTCTGCAGTCCCACTCTGGGGTGCCTACCCAAGAACACACACCAGGAGGGAGGCCACGGAGAAGGATTGACACAGGCCAGGAAGCGTCTGGGCTCTGGCCAGCAGGAGTTCCGCCCAGGGGCAGGCATTCCTTTGCTGGCTGTGAGGAGAAGGAGCTGTCGCTACAGCCTCGAAGGCCCAGATCTGGTGAGGCTCACCTCCCCACAGCTCTGGAAGGCAGCAGCCAAGCAACTTCAGTGAGAGAGCCTGTTGTGGGGGTGCTGGGTTGTGTCCCCTCAGAATTTTGTGCCTGGGGCCATGGGCCCCCTTCACCCCTATGCTACACCACTATGTTCTACCTCCCCTTTCAGAAGCAGTGTGCCCGTGAATGCCTGTTGCTGGGAATCACAAGTGGGGAAACTGTTGTCTTGTGCTCATGTCTGCCTTGCAGGCTTCCCACAGACATCTGGTTGGCCCCTGTGAGAACAGGATGCTGGACTAGGTGGGCTTTTGGCCAGATCCAACGGGCTCTTATGTAAAACTCTTGCACTTGTATGCTTCTTACATTGACCAAAATGAAAGTTCCTTTAGGCCTTTAAGAAATAAAACACATTGCTTTAAAGGTGTCATGAATTCTGCTCAGATTGCCAGTATGTATTTATTCACAAAGGACTCAAAATAGCTACCAGCTCTCTTTGCTGAAAGGCTGCTAAGACAAGGGGCATCACTTTCCTCCCCTCATCTCTGGAGTTTGTAATCTGAATTCTGTAAAAACAGAGAAACAACTCGTATTCTCCAACAAGCCACTGATTAGATCAAGTTCGATTAATTTTGGATCTGCTTATGGTTTTGTCCCTGTGTGAATTTGGTTTGAGCCTTCTCCATTGTTGCCAGTGTTTGTGCGATTCTATCTTTATGGGGAGACGTTTATATGGGGTGGCGTCTGTCTCCTGGAAAATGCTTTTCCAGCTCCTGTCGGTTGAACTTAAGGATCTGTGGCAGGGGGTTTGAGATGCCGAGCATGTTTATATCAACAGAAGTAGAGAGGGTTTCTGTCCAAACTCTTTCCTAAATTGTCATACCTTGAAGGAAAGCAAAGCAGAAGACAAAATTTATTCTCAGAGCTTGACGGACCATGCATTATTTATACTTTAGAATCTTTCACTGTTTTGGTGAGAAAGAAGATATGATCCCTGAAAGCAGCTGCTGTTTTCTTTGCATATTTATAGGAGGCAGCTTGAAACTAGCAGTGAAAAAGGTGAATTCCACGTTGGGGATCATTGGGAAAGGGACTGAAAATAAACCTGCCAATGTCATAATGCCTTTAGACAAGTCTGCGGTATGGCTACACTTGGACTCCTGTGTAAATTTCTGGTCATCTCACCTCAAAGGGGATATTGTAGTGCTGGAAAGGATGCAGAAAAGTGAAAGTAAATAGAACAAGGGGCTGGAGAAACACCTGTATAAGGAAAGGTTCCAATGTTCTGGGCCATTTAGTTTAGGAAAAATAGGTAATGGGGAATATGGTAGAGGTGTACAAAATCTGGAAAATTCAGAACAGACAAAATATTATATTATCTCCAGAGTCAGAAGTAGTTGTTGGCATCCTTCCGTCTTAAGAGACAATGGAGTGCGCCTCTGGGAGTGCGCCTCCGTCGAACTGCTGTGTTAGCAGCACCAAAGTGACCTCCTTGGAGTGCAAGACTGGGCAGTGTGTATGGAGGTCCTGGGTTGCCCAGACAACAAGACCCCACTCTTGGCCTTGCTGATGTGGTCCAAAGGACAGCAGAGCAATATGCTTGACAGCAGCTTGGCTACAGGAGTTGCTGGAAGAAGGCTCCACTCTGGATTTGTAGGGTTTACTCCTTAGCCTTTTCCTTTCCTGAAGATGCTCCACAAGGTGGTGGAGGTTTAGGATCAATTTTCCTTCTCCTAGATGGGCTACCTTTCCAGACTGACGAGCCCCATCTGCCCTTCACTTCTTTCACAGCACATGCGGCAACTGCTTTCTTGAAAGTTGGACCCATTATTGGTCTCATCTGCTCAATCTACCAGAGCCGGTCTTCACATACAGGGAAGTCCCTAAAGCATCAAGGGCTTGAGACACTGGCTATCCTCACCTATTTTAGCCAACCAGCTGAAGCCAGGGTGTGGCTGCTGTCACCTGCTGAAAGCTTCTAGGAGCCACAAGTGAGAACTGAGTCCAGGGTAGCGGCCAAAGGTGGACAAACTACCCCAGAAGGAGTGCAAAGTGCCCCTACCAGAGGCACTACCCCATACACCCCATCAGAAGTAGTATGCCTCTGAATACAAGCTGCTGGGAACACAAGTAGAGGAGTGCTATTGCCCCCAAGCCCTGCTTACGGGCTTCCCAGGGGCATCTGGTTGGCCACTGTGAGAACTAAAGACTGGACTAGATTGGATCCCTGATCTGCCCACTCCCCAGTGCCACAGTCTCCCCTCTCCCAAAATTGTAAACCCAAGACTTCATGCAAGGGCAGGGTAACTCAGGCCAAGCAACGATGAGACTCAGGGCTAGCAAGTGAGGCCCAGTTTGAAGCAGTGGGGTGCAACTTGATTATTATTATTTTTTGGTAGGGCCCGTTCACGGCCAAAGTCTGCAAAATCTTATAGATATCAATAAAATCTATCTAGACTGCCCTGGTGCAGGGGCTCCCTTCGGAGCGGCACACGGAGCGCAATTTGGCCATATTGCTCCAATTGCCTTAAGGTCAGCCCTGATGAGACTGCAGGGGTTGGACTGACAAGCCCTGCACCTTCTAGGTCCCTGGTATCACTATTCAGAGTACAGACTCAAGGACTTGCTATGTAAATAAAGGGAGAGGCACTTATTGAAAATCAGTTTTGTCACCTCTTCCCCCCCAGACCCCGAGACAATGAGCCCAGCCACTTTTTATTCACAGTCGCATAAGCACTACACTACAGCATGGCCATAAACCTGTAATTTCAACCGCTGAAATATACACCCAATATGTAGCAATGGAGATTCGTGTTGATGCTTTATGAATGAACACTGTGTTTTATGAATGGACTCTGTATTTTGTGAATTACCTAAGAGCCCCACCAATAGGGCTCTCTAGAATCTGACAGCTAACCAATTGGGTACTACCAAACAGCGATCCCTACTGCTGAAATCAGGTAACCAGCAGGGAATGCTTCAGGTCAGCCTTTGCACTGTTTACTGAACGCCCCCTGCTGTGCAGATAATGGAGAAAGCTCGTAAATTGTATCCTTTCTGGCATCCTGGCCAACTCTATTATGCTGGTGTAAACCCTGGTGCACCAGAAGCCCAGAATAGCAGTAAATAAAATCCGCTCATACATCAGTGACTGATAAGACTTGTCAACCAGTTCTTCCAAAGTCTTCCTAAATTATAAAGTTCCAAAATACAGGCCAAAAGAGAGCAGGTCTGCGAAGAGCGAGGCATACAATGGGCAC